GTCAAATGTGATACGCTTCAACGGTGATTTTTTCACTCCTTTGGCCCGCGATTTTTCTCGATCTTCACCAGACACTTTAAAACTATACATTTTTGCTCGGAGCCCCACGAACTCAGTCATAATCTTGCCATGATTTTCGTCTTTCATTACACCTAATTTTTTCTTATTCTTTAGAGGTATATTATATACATTATTTATTGGATAATCAGAAGTGTCGAAGTTATCAATACCATTTTTCATAATTTCATAAATATCCTCTACTCTGAAATGATAAATAAGACTATCCGTGTCTGTGTACACTAGTTTTGCCCTATCCTTGAAAGTTTCTTCACATAATTATGGTGAAAATCATAAATATATGTTTTAAAAATATCTAGAATACTAAAGCCTACGTATATTGGTTTATTAAATTTAATTTTCGTTCGGCTCATTTGGATTATTAGCAAATGCTTATCGAAAATAATACTAATATGAAAGTTGGGTTTCGATATCCAACTCTCAGCACCCCATCGTCCATCCCATCTTGATACGAGTTTCACATCATGATGTTTCCTGACATTTTCCATTGTTTTTCCGAAAACCGCGTTATTCATCAATTTATAAAAATTTTTTTCAAAGTCATTCTGAGAATTTTTTCGATAATTAGTATTTAAATCAATATAATTTTTTAACCACGAGTTTTGAGAAAACTTCAAGAATCTATCAATTTTAGTGATTTTTAAGCCCAAACTACAATATTGTTTGAGATTTTTATAATGAATGACATAATTTTTTTTGGAGTTCAACGTGGTCAATAATTTTGGTNCTGACCGTTTGGAGGGATTATGTGTTCCGGGCACAATGGTAAATCTTTATGCTCTTCATGCAATTCCTGCGGGTATTCCAGATCAACCTCCAGGATGTATCCAGTCTCTGAGTCATCTGGAATGTTCAGGATGTTGAGGGATGACCAATCTTCCATCCAACAGAAATTCCCACTCGGCAAATGATGACTCATTGCTGCTCCATATAAGTTATTCACATCTAGATACATCAAATATGATTTCTCTTCCTCTGGGTTATACTCATTAGCACTCATGTAGGGGTTATTTGCCCTTCCGTATCGGTTTGAACACTGCGACAGTTCTCCTCTAATGTCTTTCTCAATGAAAAGGAACATTTCAGGGTCTTGAAATAATTCCAATTGAACTCCAGTGATTTTTAACATTGCATCAAAAGCCAGTCCTGGTGTTGTATAATAATGAAGAGAATCTAAGTTGTAAGCGGTGAAACAACTCTCTCGAAAATTTTCGAAAATATCTGCTAGCAACAATACGTCGGTTTTCAGATATAAATCCGCATATTCACCGAGTGTTCTGATGCTGAAATTTCTCCACACATCACATGCATGGTTGTAATCTTTATCGGATATGTGCTCATCATTCAGTTGAGAATAAAACTCTTCTTTCCGTGGTAATTGTTGTACACTTAATTTCTCCCATGTATCCAAGTATTCGTATGGGAAAACTCCTTTGCGTACAACCAGTTCGAATTGTCGTTTTTGAGGGTAATGACTGGCTGTGATTATTTTTTTTTCATCTTCTAAATATGAAGAAAGTTTATCGATACTGCTTGCCATAAAACGAAATGAGTCAATGAATCTCAAGTGGACTCTTGTTGATTCGACTGATTTTGTAAAAGAAATGTATTTCTCTTTAGTAATTGGGAGTAATGTCACAGAGCCCTCGAATTGTCTCGCAAGGGACTTAATGAAAAAACGCGAGTCATAACCTGACAAATTGTGGAAAACCACAGGGATTACACACGATTCTGTGTAATTCACGTTACACCCATGGACCCATGGCTGCCATGGCAGCAACCGGGATGAGCTGCTCCGCGATATTTTCCCGTGAAGTGGTAATGGTCCCGATGTTTCACTGCTTTTTCGGTGAATGCCCTGCCACAAATATGACATGTTTTAGCTGCATTATAGGCTCGCTCCATCTCGAAAGTCAAGTTCATGGGCTCATTTCTCTGTAATTCAGCATCAACTTTTATAGCTAAAATACGTAGCTGCTCAATAAACCACTCTACACAGTCTTTTCCACGATAAATAGAGAGTTCCGATTTTGAGTTATCATAGCTACATTTCACATAAAATGCAACACTGAATGGTACATGATTTTGGTATATTTTGGTATTTACATCATTGTCATCGGACACTTTTTCCAATAAACACTCAGTATCAGCGTATACAACAAATGGAACAGTCAGTTGATTTTTGAAATTTTGAAATTTTAAATATTTTTCACCACGATGCGGAAAAATCATTCGACACTTATTGATCGATACACAATCTACCCTATGATTAGTGTAGGCCTCTTTTTTGAAAAAGTGACACAAACACCTGTCACATATGAGTGTTTTACGTTTAACTTTTGAAATTTGTGCACCAACTAAACGAGACAAATTCGAGATCCATGTATAGTGATGAATTCTTTCCTGTTCACCATCGAGGATGTCGTCTTTTTCAATCATGAGAAGGCGAATTGTTCTTTCTTCCTCTTGCAGTGTGGCTGGAAAATTTTTGCTCTAATCAAGGGGCACAATCCATTTGTTCTCTGATTCTTCGTCACTGTCGATTCCATATACATTAATCGACAATTCATTCAGTTTCTCGAACTTGGGAATGTCTTCTAATGCCATGGGGTATTTGAAATTACCAAATATTTTCATAACAGTGCTGAAAGTTGGGTATGAGTTAGGTCGTTTTTTGTCTTGAACGTTACAGTGAGCGGCCATAATGGACCATAAGAAGCAGTAGGCATCGTCTTTATTTTGAACGTTCACGACAGCATGTTTCTTTTTAATCCATTCAGGGAGTTCAACGAAGCTGGATCCTCCGCGCGATTATATTTATTTATGTTCACTTCTAAATTAATGACGTCAACTAATCTCCAGCCTGAGTCTTTTTCCTGGAACTCATCCGCTTTCACAAGAAGTTTTTCTCTTATGTGTTCATCGAACCACTGCCTAATATCAGTTGAATCAAGAATTATTTCATTCTTCGTACTGAAATATTTTTCTTCTTCAATGAGATGTTCATCTCTATTAATTTCATATTTACACGTTAACACTACATTCACTTTCAAACTTCCTTCTTGTTTCAATGCATTTTTCAAACGTACATAGAGCATTCGTCTAGCATCATCTAAAAATTTGGGTATGTCTCGATCTTTCTTGTTAATGATTACACCGGTTCTCATACGACCCTCAAAAACACTTTGTAAGTCCTCCCATCGGACTATATCGGCTAAATTGCCACTTAAATCTCTTCCTATCACTTCCAAGTTTCTGAATCTTGCGTAGAACGCTTTCAGTCGTCCTAACATGTGAGTTAAACGTCTTTTCTCACTATGACTCGTACTCTTCTTCAATAATGCATTAATTTCTTTCGAATGTCCTCTGATGTGATTAAGCCATTGTTGAATTTCCCTGGGTCTCTTATTTGTTTTCAGTATTTCATACGCATCCTCCAATGACCTCAATCTTTTACACGCGTTAGGATCCATGTTGTTCATGATAAAGACACTAAAGAGCTAGTGGAAAATCAAGGTGAAATTTGTTTATATAGATACATATGTGAATGTGCCTACGCTTATACACTCTGTAACAGCTTACGTGATTGGTTGAAAAAGAATCATGTGACTCATGGAAAATTATTAACAAAATAGCAACATTTTTTGTTCGTGGGAAAAAAAAATATCTGAAAAATGTCCAGGATAACATTTAATCTTTGCGGTGCGTTAGGACATCAAAGGGTCCGAAAACTCTGCTCCAGTTTGTCAAACATCATGTTCTTAGGATTGTGAGTACAACGTGCGTTCCCAGGTAACCCGAAAAAGTCTATGTAAACAAAAGATTGCGTTCGGACTTCTTCCAATGCATTTCCATTCTTATCTGTTTGCAGCAGATGGGGATTTTTTGGAAACTCCTCCTACTACAACGTGTAAAATTTGTCGAGGACTATGCCAAATTGGTGGGGATACCTAAGTTTTTGAATGACTGATCCTCTGCCTTTGCAGATATACTTAATCCCTCCCCTTCTGAACCCTTCTTTTTAAAATAAATATTTACATATTAATATCGTTATCAACAACAATTTCACACGAATGGGAGCGGCAAACGAGAAAGCACCGGGAAACTCAAGTTCAGACATGTCTGGAAAATGTCAAGTGGAGCCAGGTGTCAGTGTTTGAAGAAGAAGAGGAGCCCCTTCTATAATTTCTACAGAAGCGAATTAGTTAACCCTTTCACCCCTCGCGGCAGTGTACTGAGAAGTTCGGGTATACTAATTGATTAATTAATTAATCGATCCTCGAATTTAGCCGTGATTTGCGGAATTAATCTGCGAATCAAACCGTGACCTGTGAATTGATTAACCCCTTCACTCACCCCCTCGCGGGGTGAATTGACTAGGTCACCGAGAAGGTCCTTTGTAACATAAAACTGCGAATTAAATTGATTAACCAGCGAATTAAATAACCCTTTCATCACTTCGAGAGAAAAAATCGCGAATTAATTAATCAAACCGCGAATTAAACCGTGACCCGGCAAATTAATTAACCCTTTCATCACTTCAAGAGGAAAAATCGCGAATTAATTAATCAAACCGCGAATTAAACCGTGACCCGGCAAATTAATTAACCCTTTCATCACTTCAAGAGGAAAAATCGCGAATTAATTAATCAAACCGCGAATTGAACCGCGACCGCGCGAATTAATTAACACTTTCATCCCTTCGAGGGAGAAACCGCGAATTAATTCATCAAACCGCGAATTAATTAATCAACCCGCGAATTAAACCGCGACCCCGCGAATCAACCCGCGAATTACACCGCGACCCCGCGAATTAATCAACCACCCACCCACCCACTTTCATCTGACCTTCCTACTGGGCCCCAACGACCAGGTTGACGCCAAAAACGTTGCGCCAGAATCGGCATTACTTAACTACTCACGGTGTCGGTCTGAAGATGCAGCAGCTCTGGTCGATGAAGAGTTAATGCCGTTCTCCATGTTTTCCCGGCGTAGACATTCGTGGCATTTTTTTTCCCCCATAACCTTCTTCTCCACCAACAAACACTGAACACTTATCATGCAGATGCACGGCCTTTCCACTTGCCTGAAAGTTTAAAAATCATGAGTGAATTATCACAGGTTCTTTACATTGCCGAAATTCTAGCCGACAAAATTGCGGAAACATCCATGAGATCTGTTGCCTTTGAGGAAAAGTGAACTATTTGTGAAAAAAATGGTCAAAGTAAAAAAAATGTGAAGTCAAACGTCAAAGTCGAAATGTCATATACAAATGAAAAATCTAATGTGGCGACTTAGCAAATGCCCAACAAAAAAAAAGAATTAGAAAGTTTTGTTTTGGAAGTTGATGAAATGATTGAAAAATTCATAAAAAATGGTCGAAAAAATGTTTGCAAATAACGATAATTTATTATGCGTATTTCCCATAAATGGATCAGGGCCAATCAGAATGCAGTATTTGGCGTCACTTGATGTGGTGGAGGATGCTTTACAATAGACATTGCTCATCATTTTTTACAGAAATTTTGACGTCAAATGAAATTTCGTGACTGTCTGCGATCCTTCCGATCTTGAGAAACACATTAAATAATTTGTGAACAATGGATTTCCCACCATAAGAATCGTTTGTTCACAATCGTAAAAAATGAATTAATGTTTAGAATTTTCTCAGAAATCGATTTTCTGAAAGTTTCAACAATTTCAATTATCTATTTATGAAGCCAAAAAATAATAATTCTATGCACACATGTAAATTGAATCATGTTGAATATCTACAATTTTTTCAAATTTCATTCCTTACGCAATTTAATCAATTTTGATTATTGGAAATGGTTAAATAGTGTGTTCTGTACCAGACTGTCAGAGATACTTGGATATCCTGAAAAACTGTTTAAGTTGCCAAAAATTTTCTGTTTTCTTTATAAACGCGTTTGTGAATAAAATTTTTCGTGGATAAAACGTGTTAATTCCCACTTTCATGGTAGAAGCGATAGATAGATAGTTCTATGAATAGGATAATTCCCCCAATTAGATTATTTAAACATTCAACAAGTTCTATTCAGTAAATTGATCTTTTAGATTCGTGTACCATCCAACTAAGCTTTGAGATTACCAGACAAGTCGAATTTAGAGTCCTTTACCATGAATAATTCGTAACGTTAGACAACGAGCGGATGTAACTGCACCGACAATTTTCACTTCAAATTAATATTTTCTATTGTAACAAATGAAATTGCGATACGAATGTGGCTTTAACCAGCATAAACGTCAAATATTGTTTTCTATCGGTTGAAATTCAAACGGAAAAATTATCCAACCGAATATCCCTCGTGTTCCAAAATTATCAGAAAATGTTGCCTTAAGTTTGCCTGCATATAAATCGCGAGAAGTTTTGCGATAAACTTCGTACTTCACACTTGCGATTTTAGTCGATAAAACTGCTTCCTCTCGATACTGTACAACAAAACTATCGGAAAATTTTCGACAATTTTGGCGCACTCGGGGCATTACAGCCGATAACTCATGAACATAAATTCGATTTGTTTAGATGTATGAAATCATTAGATATCTATTTGAATATTAATGACTAATATAATTAAAATAAAGACAATGCGAAAGAGATCATGAGGGCCGTATTAAATTTATACAAAATACGTACACATCTATGACCTCCTCCAGGTAAATCACCGTTGGCGCAGATGGGACACCCATCATCTGAGTTGGACACAGGTTGGCTTGGGACTCGAGGCTGATACGACTGCTTGGACAGAGATTCTTGTTCTCCCAGACTTTGTTCGTGACATACATTTGCTTTTTTATCCTCGCAATCTATTCCTCCTGCCATGGCGGGGTCATTCGCAGAATTGTCAGCTCTACTCTCGAAATTACTACTCTCATTTCTGTCAAAAAATTTATTTTGAGATTGACTTGCAACTTGTCGACTACTTCGCGTTGCTATTAATCAATAATATACAGTTGTCATAGTACTCCACTGGAAGCTGACAAAAAGAATCAATACGAAATTTGCCAGGGGTTCGATCGCCTGTTTGAAGTAATTTTTTAATTTGGCCGAACTCGACCTCTATTGGTGAACTTGATGCCGGCACCCTTCCATCCTTGAATCTGTTCAGAAAAACACAACTGCACATAGGCAACAATTTGAAATCTTCCATTATTTTCTCTGTGATTTTTTCTGTATAATATAAGCTACGCTTACTCCCTCGCGTTAATTTTATCTCTTCTTCTACCAATTGCTTTATTCGAGTTGCCCACTCCAGCCATAATGAAGGCCCTATGTTTTCTTCCTCCAAATTCTGTAGATTGTCAGCTGGTGCCGTTTCCTCTTGATCACTTTCTTCATTCCCTTTTTCTTCTTCTACTTCATCTCCTGCATCAAAAATTTCATCACAATTGAAAGAACTGGTGGTGAAGAGTGCTTCCATCCTCTTTATCGTCAAATCTACAGCTGAATCTTTGTCATCAAACCTTGGGCCCATAGTTTTACTCAATGCATAAGTTAGTAAATAGCGGACAATCATCTCAGCCTTCTCCAGATCGCAACAACTTATCAATTTGCCAATACCAGCTTTGTAAAAGCGAGCTACATCCCAACGCGCTCCTTTCTTCAATATGTCAACATAGGTCTTTATGAAATGTGCCCCATCTGTCCTAATCAAACACGTTATTGCCTCGTTTGAAGAGAGAAAAGCGTTGGAGTATTCACTCCTTGATGACAAAGAAGTAAAAGCACGAACAGCAGCATTCTGAAGGGCACGAGCTCCATCCATTATGACTTCGCTAGGAATTGGCAGACCAGAACTTGTCATAAAACTATTCAACCATAGGAGAATGTCTCGAGTAGAATGTCTCACTTATCATTTGTGCTAAAGAGATTTGGAAATCAGTTGTACGAATCACTGCTGCATACAAATATAAAGGGCCCTCAGAGGATTTATCGGCTCGGCGAATTGGGTGACATAAAGATCCAGTACTATCAATACTCAAGGACAAATATCCCTTTTCCAGCACTTGTTTGTACAAATCCTGTTGAGACTTGGTTGAGTAACAAAGCATAAGGGGATAACTGTTAATCAATGAAATTTCGCCTGCTTCCCGCTTCTGTTGTAAAATTTCAAGAGCATTTATCGGATCAGAGTCTAAATATTCCCTCACGACAATTTCATGTCTCATTTGCCAGAGTACAGATAACGTTGGAATGGTCGGGGCCCTCCTTTTCTCATAATTTTGCCCGTCAAATCTGCTTGGAATTTTTAAGCTGAAGCTGTCAACAATTGTCATCCCCATTCCAGACGCTTAGGACCTCTTACTGGCCGAAGAGTACATAATTCGCCGGGTGATCCCTTCAACCCTTGGAAACACATGGCCACGACATTTTCCTTGACTGTGATTCCACAGTCAAGAGTTGCGCCATAGCTGCATTTTCCATAAATGCATGTCGAGAAATCATCATTTACATCGGGGGATTTAAACGAATATCCGTGTAACGTTTGGCATTTAGATAATAAATTTCCATCATGAAATCTTGTGAGCGACCTGTAAAAATTGGGATAGTTTACAAAATCATCTGTCAGTTACCATATCCAAAATAGATGTACACTGTTAAAACAAAATATCTGAATTTTCCTGGAAATGACACTGAACTCGATTGACCAGAAAAAAGTTATAAAATCTCAAGTTTTCTTTAAAACTTTGCTTATTTTCCAATGGAAGAGTTATAAAAAATTGCTCAATTTACCATGAAGTTCGAACATAAACATGAAAATTGAATAAAAAATTTTCTTGAAATTTCAAGGGATGAAAAATTAAAACACGTTCTTAGAGGAAATTTTCTTAATTTCTTTTAATTTTTACGGAATAATTAAACTGAAATTTACATTTTCCATGAATTTTCCACCAAAACTATGAATTTTCAATGACGAAATGTTCTGATATTCCAGTAAAAGTTTCACTTGATTGATCTTTCAAGGCTAAAACTTGGAAAATTCGGTTAAAAGTTTTCAACAGTATAGAACAGGATAGTAAAACAAAAGTTGGCTTAGTTGGAAAGTATCTATTTGGGCACCCCCTCTTTGAACCTTAAGGGACATTAAAGATGGCAGTGCCCAGACCTATCAACCACCTCGGATTTTTAAATATTATTTAAAATTATTTATTCACTTCAGATCACCCTCAACTCGTTTCATCACAATTTCGTGGTGGTAACAATTTTTTTGTGGTAATTTGGATGTTTCAAAATTCAACGAACAAAGAGAATTTGTGGAGCAAAAATTTGTCCGCATTTCGGTTGCTGTTCTTTACCCACCTATCCTCTTAATATCCAGAATATTATATCATTAACTTAATTTCCATTGCTTTTTAATTCTAGAACCAATACTTTGTATATTACACAAACGTAATTATACAAAAACAAATGTAAATACCAAACTGAAGGCCCTCAAGCGATGACCAGTGGCAAGCATCTAGCGACGAGTTTTGTTAAAAATCGATATTAATAACAACAATGATATTAATCGATATTTATAATAATTGACAGCGATTGAGAGTATTTTATTACCCTGTAATGTCCAAAAATCTATGAAATAGCTTTCCTTCACAATTTCCCGATTATTCTCCCTATCCAATGCCACATCGTCAACCGAGAACCCGAAAAGTGCAGCATCAACAAATAACATAATCCAACATAAGGCTAGTGGACTTGCTATTTCAACAGAGTAACACCCCGCAGGTGAAGAATCGCCAGTGCGAAATCCAGCGCGCCTAAAACCGCTGACCCAACAGGTCAATTCCCTCCAAGAATAAAAAGTGGGAAAATCACGCCATAATTTCCACCAATCAAAAGCAAAATCGTGTATCGATCAAGAACCGACTCACTCCCTAAAAATTAAACTCAAAAGCCAGTCTAGAAGCAATCGTCGGAGCGTTAATTTTGACTTGGTGGAAATTACTGACGGAATCGATCTGTCTCTTTCGGTCCCCGCTACTCATAACTCGCCTGGAAAACGGTTATCGGGAGTGGTAGTTATTGAACATAGTTCATAGCTGAGTGAAAGAAAGTCGCGCAGGGATACTGCATCCTAAAATCGAGAGTAGTAGTGTTTCTTGCATTGTAAGAGGACTAATTAACTAGGCTACCGTGATTGTGGACATTCTCACTTAAAAACACTTTTCCGAACTTTGTTAAATTGTACACGAGTGGGTGAAAGTGATCCAATAGGAAGTATTCATAATAGGATCAGAGAAAACTCTAATTCTGGTGGAGAAAAACCTTTGTGTCATTGAAGGATCCACAACTAGAAATATAAGGATTACTACTAAAACCATCATCAACTGTAAGTTCAATTATCAATAACCTTCAACCATTTTGAAGACCAAGGTGATCCACTATCAGACTTTGTAAAAAGACTTTCCAGGGATAAAATATTAACTTAATATCAATTTCAAAATTCAACAATTCAAACACGATTCAAATTGTAAATTTTTCATTTGTAATTATCAACAAAGTCGAAATTATAGAAGATTACTTTTGAACATAAAAATTGTCTCGGAATCATTTGACTATTTCCTTACTTCAAATATTCCTCATCCTTTCAGTATCCCAATTTCGATTCTCAAAATTAGTAACGTAAATCAAGGTAAGAGAGATAAATTACACCTAGCGTCGTTCAATATAAATCAAAATATAAAAGTATCTGGCTTAACAATTCATTTCGAAATTTAGCTTTCCCATATTTTTATATCAAAAATTCTAGGTTGTTATTTTCCCGTAATTTACAATTCTACCCAAAAAGTGTCCTTCGACGCTGACACGTCTCCGGACATAACAACCCAAAATAGAGGTTTGAAAGATTATACATAGATATTAGTAGCGTGAAGGACAGAAGGAACAATCGATTGAAAGATATTACTTTTCTGAATAACTAACCAGTAAGGAGTTTTTTCCTGGATCGAATGTATTCTATTCCGGTGCTTGTCTTCCTCTGCGTCGATTGCCTCTCTCTAATTAAGGCCGAATACTCATTGGCTTGATCGAATTCCATCCTCACTGTTTGTCACGTATGTAAGAGTGCACGAGCAGATCTACCCCCTCCGAGCTCCTTGGAAATTGTTTCCCAAATTCCATTGTGAGTCAATGCTATGATATTCTCACCCAATTTATTCTTTTACTAGCGCCACCCCGGCCGCAAGCGGGGTGGCGCTAGTAGCGGGGTTTTTCCTGTCAGTTTTAATATCCCTTTTTTCAATTCATTGTTCATAATCATTCTAATTGTAAAAAGCAACGCAACTGATGACAATAAACTCTCCCAATTTATTAGCTTCAAATTTTGTTAATTTTTCATATTGCAATAAATGACTTGTTCATGTGCTAATTGCTATACTTACTGAATAAAAGTTCGATCATAATTATAATGCACTTTCTTCTCGAACGTAAGCCAGAGAGTAGATTTCTAGTGAACACTCTTATAAATTTTCATAATTAGTTCACTCGTTAATTCAACTAATCTGTTATTCATATCATCAATATAATTCCACGCTTGAAATATCATCACCTAATGTTTTCAGCACCAAATTAAAAATTAAAATTTTAAATGATTGTTTGACTTCTGTTCCATCTTTTTTTGAGTCTGAAATTCACATTAATGATTCAGATAATATTACATAATTGTCATCATTTTTATTATTTGCAGTTATGGAATATTGAGTGAAAGTTTTTTTTGTTTAATCATATCAGAAATTTTTAATTTAAATATTGTTACTATTTGTTCAAAGTGAAACAATCGATTATCATT